CTAAAATCACAACTTGCATGATTGAGATTAAAAGTTCGGGTGTAATGGAGGTTATCAACATTAAACACTGGTTAATATTGTTAATTTAATTTAGAAAAAGGTTGCTTTTCTTTATATCTATATGCAGTGGCAGAGTCAGAATTTCATGTGAGGGGGGGCCTCACAACATGAAGTTGGAGTAAATTGCACAAATATCGAAATACCTATCAAATTCAATACAAAGAACTAAAAACATTGTACAAACTCAAACACTTGAATGTGAGGTAAAGAGTTATGGCAAGAAAATTAAAAAATATTACCAAAGGACTAAAGAAAATACAAAGAAAATTTGATGACAAAAAAAGGATGCAAGAGAGATGGAGCGAAAGAAGGCGGCGTAAAGGAAGAGAGAGTTTGGACTGAGAAGGGACGCACTTGAATTTTACTAGTATTCGACTGATAAAGTAGCATAAAAAAGGCATGATGGGGCCATAACTATTTTGGTCCCTTAGTGGCTCGGCCTCTGTTTATCTGTAGCTTCCTATAATCATCCCATTTCCTTGCTTGCAAAGACAACCATTGCATCAATGGATACAGTGGTGAAGCTACATAGGGACAAGGAGGGGCGACCGCCCCTCCCCTCGCCGGAAATGAAGCCCAGGAGTGAGTATCCGTCCCTCATCTCGCCGGAAATGAACCCCTGCTTTCTGCTGCTGCTGCGCAGGCACTGCGCGCGGCAGTTCAGTTTTCTGAAAACCCCAAGCCAAACGGTGTCGTGTTGGACGTAGAAAAAAGAAAACCCCCTTAGGTAGAACGGTGTCGTTTGTATTCATTGGAAAATGTAAATAAATAAGACTGACATATGGGGACCACTCATCCAAATTAACCTTATTGGAGCCCCCACGAACCAGCTCGAGAAGACAAGCCAACCTTCAAGCCACTGCCCAGATTCCCCCTTCGCGCCTTAGCCCTTCCGCTCCAAGTTCCAGCCTTCAAGCCAAGCCACTGCGCAGCTTCAAAGGCTTTCATAGCTTACCTGAATTCCTCTCCAAAACTTGACGACAACAATATATAAGCTTATAGCTTACTTGAATTCCTCCAAGCTGGCTCCTTCATCTTGATTGAACCTCCAAATGACACAAGTCAAGAACACTTGAAACATGAGATTAAAGTCTAGTTTGTATAAAATCCCGAATTAAAAAAAAAATTCCAAACCTGATTGCATGTCCAAATCCTTTACCTAAACTTGTTTGGCTCGACTCACTAAATCCGTAGGCGAAAACATTTTGTCAAATTGACGAGCAAAAAGAAAGTTACGAATTTTCAATGATTTTTTTATAGGGAAAACGGAGGGAGGCTGAGCTTTCCGGAGAAGTCGAGATTGATGAGAATAAGAACTAAATAGCATTCTGGTTTAAAATTAAACCCACGTGGCTGACTAAACTTGTATCTTTTGGGACTTTGTAATGTGGTGAAACTAGATTTCACCTCATAAGCAATTATGAAGATGCATAGTAATTTTTCATCAAAAAAAAAATATAGTGATAATTTTGATGAATTTCGAGAGTTGTGAAAGCTATAAGTTAGTGTATAAGCTTCTTACATTGGTTTTGGTATTACCGGTTGCAACCGCTTCAGTGGAAAGAGTATTTTCTACTATAACTATTGTGAAAACACAATTGCGTAACAAAATGGGAGATCAATGGTTGAAGGATAGCATGGTTGTTTACATTGAGAGATATTTTTGCTTTTATTGATAATGAGCCTATTATACGATATTTTCACAACAGGAGACGTTGTCAATAACAATTGTAATTTATTTGTATTCATAAATTATGATCGACATTAATAGTGTCTACTATATATCCAAAGGGATTTAGTTGTCTACATTTTTGCACCTCTTACCCTTTTATATTTCGCCCCTCCCCTCAACAATTCCTGACTTCGCCACTGAATGCACAACAAGTCGATTGTATGTGCAGATAAATTTTTATGAGTACGTAAGTTACATGGTGTTTGATCTTACTTGTGAAGTTATTACGCATACAAAATTAAAGTGAAAGAAATTCAACTAATTAATATTCAAAGAAATTTCCCAACCAGGACTAATGAAATGAGAAATTAAGCTGATATCAGATTTCAAACTCAGTACTACAAAATCTGAAACTTGTTGAAGTATAGTTAGCTAGAAAATGCAAATCAAGGCAGAAGAAGGCATGCAGGGAGGTTGCAGTGACCGTGTGGTTTTTAATGTGGTATTTATCCGATTGGATGCATGGTTGTGGCTTCTTAATTAATTTGCGAGTCGTGCCGTACTTATTTTGCTAGATTTGCCATAAATATATACCTAAGCTAAGTACACTGTATCGTATACGCATGTCACACCCACGTATACAAATTTAGGGAAAACCTAGAAGCCAAAGGCCCAAAATGGAGAAACCCAAGCTGACGCGGGAGCCAAGGCTTAAAAAAAAAAAAACAAAATGAAAACTTCTCTTGGCATTGGAAATTCAAATAATAAAGGCATTGTAATTTATTTTAGGGAGCTTTAATTAAAAAAGCTTGGACCAACAAATATTTAACCAAAAACCATCCTAAAATGTTATTTAACCAAAAAGACTCAAAATTTAATAAAAAACCATCCAAAACTATTATCCACAGTCCAAACTTACAAGCCCAACCCACTATAAATCTACATTTCCGTAAATACCCCTAAATGATTCGATATTGTCCCGACTCTTCACTAACCTCAAACCAGCACAAAACTGCCATAATAACTCCCTGTCTTCCTATCAATCGAATTCCCCAATTTCAAAAATCACCAAATCAAAGTTCAAATTAAAGTTGAAAAATGAAGCATTCATCGGAATAAAGCCACCGAAACAAGTTCAAAGAAATTCAATGGTAGAAACAAGTTCAAACAAACCGGCGAAAAAGTGGTGCAAAACGTACCAGAACCGCCGTCGGAACAAACCCGCGAAAAAGATGTGGTAAACGTACTAGAACCTTCATGTGAACAAACTGGAGAAAAAGAAGTGCAAAACGCACCAGAACCATCGTCAAAACAAATCAAAGAAAAACTAACACTGTTTATGGAAAAAAAAACTAACACTGTCTCTGGAAATAAAAAACCTAAACATAAAACTGTTTTTGAAAAACATAACACTATTTCTAGAAAAATCAAAACATAACACTGTTTCTGGAAACAAAAAAAAATAACACTGTTTCAGGAAAAAAATCAGATACAATGTGTAAAAACTAACACTGTCTCTGGAAAACTAAAACTGTTTATGGAAAAAAATCAGTACCATCATTGGAACAAATCGGCGAAAAACTAACACTGTTTCTAGAAAAAAAAAACCAAAATATAAAACTGTTTCTGGAAAAACAAAAAAAATAACACTGTTTCTGAAAAAAAAAACCAAAACATAAAACTATTTTTGGAAAAAAAAAAATAACATTTAAAAAAAAAACTAACACTGTCTTTGGAAAAAAAAAGAAACCAAAACATAAAATTGTTTTGGAAAAACTCAAAACATAACATTGTTTTCAGGAAAAATAATCTGATACAGTGTTTGTTTTGTTTGTGTACAAACAAACACTGTATTTGAAAAAAAAAAAACCAAAATATAACACTGTTTCTAGAAAAAATTGTTGGTAAAACTGTATCTGGAAAAAAAAAATACTTGTATCTGAAAAAAAAAACTGAACAAAAAGCTAACAAATCTCAAATTTATTTTCTGGAGAAACAAACGATGAACTACACTAAAGAAGAAAAATTGAAAAACAGTACCTCGAATACACTATGAGAAATTGAAAAACAGTACCTCGAATTCTTCTTTTCTTCTTCATCAAATTGAAAGGTTAATAATCAAATGAATGAGGAGGGAATGACAGATATTCACATTTGACTTTTTTGCCGATGTTGGTGAAAGTGCAGATCCCTTGCTCATCTTTATAGAGAAGAGAGAGAGTGAGAAATTTTGGGAGGGAGGGAGAGAGAGAGAGAGTGACAAAATCATACCGTTTTGCTTGTAAGAGATCGTTTCCGATTTTCACAGAGATGGAGACGGCTCAAAATTAGGTTTGGGGTCGAAGTTGTGGTTTTTACATAGTGATAGAAATGGAGTTGCTATGCGAGATTAGAAAGAAAAAATGGAAGGTTTTGAATGTCAGGAAAAAATGGGAGAGAGAATATGAGAGAGATCCATAATGAAGAGAAATTAACGGACAAAAGCTTGCCGTTAGGGATAAAATCGTAAACTCAATATTTGGGCCATTTTAATTAGACTGATTTAGTATTGGGCTTTGTCCTAACCATTAAATAAAGTTATTACATGGTTTTTTGTTAAAACTCAAAGTTTTCAAACAATTTTCATTAGTTTTCCTTTTATTTTAATGACATAGGAACTTGTTAAGTCATTTTTAGAGAGTTTCTTATGAAGTTGTGGTCTATTTATGCTTCTTTATCTTTAGTTCCTTTAAATATTGATGTATTAGAAGCCATTGATGAAGTTGAATGAATTAAAATATATTTTGCTTTGTGCAATTGAAGTGAGTGATTTCTCCTTCCCCAATCAAGCATTTGACTTGGTCATGTGAGCGAATCCACGATTAGTGATATGATCTAGCTCTGTTGTCCCTGGTTGAGTGATTCCCAAATTATCTATCCCTCGTCTCCTCGAGAACTCTTGGCTTCTCCTGCATCACAAGCAGAACAACTGTAGGAGGTTTCCAAATTTCAATCCAAAATAGTTCGAAATCAAACTGTCTTTCCACCGTCGAAATTTTTGGGATTGATTTTGTCTCAAAATTTTCGGAACAAGATTCAAACTACATATATTTTTTCAAAATTTTCAAAAAAATAAGTGTACGAAAATTATTTCCTTTTTTTGTTTTTGTTTTTTTGCATTTGTTTTCAAGCGATTTGATTAGCTATAGTTGTCTACTTTTATATCTCCAACACCATCCATGAAATCACATATGCATAGATGGACTTCCTTGAAAATGGAGGTACAATAATTAATACACAAAGATTCGGGCCTATTAGTGTACAAAAAGTGCTACTACACAGGGCCCTGATTCAGAAAGACCCTTAAATTTTCTTTATATGTATACAAATACGTGGATGATACTAAATATGGTTTTAGCGCTAGTGGTTTAGTCCTTGTGCCTTTGGAGATAAGGAAACAGTCCTGGCCAATCAAACAAACTTATTTTTGTTGCACATATGAACAAATTAAGTTCACTAATTAGCTTATAACAGTGCATGATTGAATTGGGATTGGGATTGAGATTGAGAGTGAGATTGAGACTGAGAGGAGTCTGCTTGCTGTAGGCATTTTTTCCTGTATCTCCATGCTACTTGAATGTATCTTGCTGCAAGGCCTCTCCAGTAAGGTGACTCATACCTGCCAACAAAACCAAACTTCAACACCCATGTTCGTCGTAAACTATATTGCCACATGCATCCTAGACGATTTCTTGCTGACCATGTATGCATATGTCACCAGTCTTCAATCATGCATTTCGATAGAAATAATTCTCAAGCATATGCATACATGAGATATGAATAGCTTTCAAAAAAAACCTTATGGCTCCTTGAACACGCGGGTTGCGCAAGAATCTGGAGAAAACACTGGTGACTTCTTGAATGTCAGCTGCTCGGAGTGAAAATGCTTCAACGTTTGTTAAGCATCTTACCATCCTGTTGCTAAGCAACCGCTGTCCAGGAATCCTGATCCTTTTAACATCTGCAACAGAAACCACATTGATAAATTGATGTTTTTTGAAAAGTTTGAAGAATGCTCGAGACTGATACCTTTGTTTACCGAAGAATGCTCAAGACACCACGTGAGAAGTTCCTCACCACAAACATCTCCTTCAGATAACGGAATTCTAATCCCATCTTCTCCAATGCTCTCCATTTTCCCCCTCACTATAAAAACCATCTTCTCGATGAGACCACCACGGTACAAAACTTTACTTTCCTTGATGTATGTCGTTTGCCTTAGTCTTCCAAAAATGGAATCTAAGATGCGTTCATCCATCAGGGAAAAAATTCGTACCTGCAGAATTTTCGGAATTTAAAACATGCATTATGAGTTAATATGCGCCAAGCTGATAACTTCGAACCTTGGACAACTAATACTTCTAAGGAAACAAAAAGATCATCATTCAGGCAGAAAGCAGAAAATCCGATATTTGGATCATTATAAGTTTATCAGTTTATGGATTAAAAATCTTAGATATATTATTATTCCGTGATACTAAGATACTCACTTTCTTAATAAACTTGAAGAGATGGCGTCTTATATTTATCTGAATGTTTTCAGGCAGGATTCCCAAAAGCATTTCTTCATTTACTCCTCTGGTTGCTGCATAGGTGTACCGCTCAGCTTCTCGCACCCGCCTTCGGAGCACAATACATGAGGCTTTAATGATCAATTTTTAACATAACAGAATTATCGATTTATGAAGGGATAGTTCTTTTCATAAAGCATTGATTTATTTCTTTTACAATGGATATTATAGCCTAATGCATGAGGAATTGCAATTGCAAAAAAAAAGACGTTATGAATATATACATCATACCTTCTAAGTTCCTCTGGCAAGCGTCTATGCCTCATCCACTGCTCAACATCACGACGTCTAAAGGAAATTTCTAACCGTCTGTACAGAGAAACATATTTTCCTTTTCTTAAATCATAGCAGAAGTCAACTCGGAAAGCTAACTGGCGTTATCTATTCCTCTATTTGAACAGTTGGATGATGTTGAAAAAATAGAGGAACTTACAAGGAAGAAACACTGAAAAACCAAAGATCTACAGCTTCAGTAATGTAAAACCCCAGAAATATATATTTAGTTACAGGGAGCTAGCAAATGTTTAGATGGTTTAAAGTGAGTGTGTAAAAAAAGAAAAAAGAAAAGTGACAAAAGGAATGGAGTACACGTGTGTGTAAGATGATCCCTTCATCTTTTGGTGTTTCGGTGCACTGTTTCCAAAAGGGCAGAAAGGAAGAGTAACAGCCATGGGTTCTCTTTAGGTGTCGAAGAAAGAAAAATGTGTAGGTTAATTTCTAGACATCAAAACTGCAATCCGTTTTCACCTCTATGATCACAACGTCGAGCTCTACGAACGAAGGTAAGAGTTCAAAGCTTATTTGCAGATTCGAAATTATATTTTGGTTGGGGATTTCATGTTAATAACTTTGAAAAAATTCATGTTTGAAGTGCTATATGGTTGAATTGAGAGTTTTGGAAGTCTCAAGGCTGGTCAAACAGTATTATTGAAGAAGACAGAGGTAAAATTTTACTTGATTTGGAGTTATGGAATTCAATTGTGCATTGGTTGTTAGATGGCATTTGATATATGGCTCCTGAATGGATTTCATGGAAATGTTGATTAAACTGCGATTCATGTGAATAAATTTTGGATTTGGTTATTTTGGGGATGTACATGCACTGTGCAGATGGAATTGAGATGGGTTAGTTTAGGTTGGTGCATGTGAACTGTGTATTGATATGTTCATTTTCAGATTAGGCACTTTCTTGGCTTAAGCAAGATCAAGAGATAAGAGTGAACAATTGCGGAAAGAGTTAGTACCTGAAGCTTGGAATATCAGGTAGGGGGACTCACACCTTGGTTAGTGGTTTTCGGTATGTATTATGTATGTAAATATAGATGTGTGCAAGCTATGCATTGGATTTTGTTGTTGTTAGAACTGCATGTTAGGAAAAAGGAGTTTGATTTTTCTAGCATGTGATTTATGTTATTCTAAATTGTAATGACAACCTGAGAGTGAAGTGGGCTGTGTGACTACCTTGGGCTTCGATCCCTTAAACCTCCGGAGGGTCCTATACAAACGGACTCGTACCATTAACCGTAAGGGGAAGGTACTTGTGTATGTGGTATAGGTTATAAGTGGACAATCTCACTACCCTACCTTGTGTTGATATTACTTGAGAATTTTATTTTAGGTACGGTAGTTGCCCGCGTGTTTGGTTGTCAGGACAAAAAGAATGCAAGGATCCCACTATAGTTAATTATGAGCATGAAATAAATTTTAACTCATGCCAAAGCATTTTGTTGTGGAAATTATTTCCTTTATACGTAGTACAAAGATATATCTAATTTCAAACCTAGCTAGGGTGCCTCCCAAGGCGGGGCAAATGATTGTATGTGATGCTCACCCCTACATTTTTAGGTGCTATGCGAGAAATAATGGAAGAGTTGGACTAAGGTGTGCTGTTGTAGCTCGTCAACCTCAAAGCTTCGAGTCAGAAAATCAGCTTTTGAAATGTAAATATTGATTTTCTGGGTTTAGTGAAAACTGTCTGTGTATAGCCTTTTTTGCTTATGTATATATTTATCAAACCCATCACTCATTTGGTTTTGTAATCTGAACTTTTGGGATTTCTGTTGTAAAATGGTTGCTTATGAAATGGTTTGAATGTTATGAATTTTACTTGAACTCTGATATTTATCTTGATATTAATTTTTGAGGCCTTGCGTATCTTAAAGACACAGGAGAATTGTCATGTTCTAAGAATAAAGCATACAACTCTCACGTGTTTATAGGATTCGCGACCCTGTCACAATACATTTTTGGGTCATGACAGATAAAATATAGTGATATTTTTGTTGGCTATCCCACATCGGTGGGGAAAAGAAAAATAATGAGTTTATGTGAAACCCCGTCCCAATTTAAGTGTAATTTTCATATTAACGGATTTATGAGCTACCGAATTACCCTTGAGTTGACTTTGTTTGACCGCCTCGTCAAAATGCGTAGTTTGAATTCTACTAATTTATTCTTAACGTACTTATCGCCACGAATGCGTAGGCGCGAACGGATTCGATTTCGAATTTATAACGAAGATTCTACGTTCGAAACGTCAAACGTTTTCAGATATTTTTGTGTTTCGTTCTATACGTTCTTAAACTACAAACCAAGGGGACCCACTTGGAATTTTTGTCCCCCTTATCCTTGCCCAATTCGGATCCCCCCTAACCTTTTGGGATTTTCTTATCCCTTTTATTATTTTATAACTCTCTCTCTCTCTCTTTCTTCCTCACTTTTCTCCCTCTCTCAAAACTCCCGCACTCTCTCTTTCTCTACAAACCCTCCCTCTCACCTTTGAGCTTCACCTGAGAGGCAACAAAACCACCACCACACCTGGACTGTGATCTCGAAAACCCCAACCCTAGGGAGTGCTCCACCTTGGCAGTCACGATTCTTAATCCCCCGACGAACTCCAACGACATATTGCTGTCTTCGGCGAAGGTAAGCTTCGAGACTCCTTTGATCTTCCTTCCCCGTAGTTTACATTACTTGGTTAGTGATTAAAAATGGCTTTGGTGAAGGTTTTAGCACGAAAAACAACTTGAGGGGCATGGGCATTTCCAAAAATTTGGAAACTTAAAAAACCGTGGTCGTTTGGCCATGTTTAAAGCCATTTTCGGCCAACGCCGGCCACCAATCTATCCTCACTTGGTATGAATCTCTTTTCCACATTCCTAACTACATTTTGGCTTTTGAATCACTCAATTTGGTTAAGAAACGAAAAAGTTACGAAGCTTTGAAAATTGCCCAAACTTTCGGTCAAAAACCCAGTTTTCCGACGAGCACTGCTCCTTTCGAGGTGTTTTCCAGCCAAACCACGGTAATTTGGCTAGCGTGCAAGGTATCAATCTCTTCATCTCATTGAGTAATACAACTTTCATTTTTCTTTCACTTGATTTTGTTGAGTAATGAAGAAGTTATGGACGTTTGAAGTGGTGCCCAAAAACCGACCAATTCATTGGCTTGAAAACGGGTCAACCCGACCCAAGTCCTTTGAAACTAGCCCAAAACCCTTGAGCCTCCAACCTAAATAGTGACCCTTTTAAGCCCAAACCAAATTATTTACCTCAGACCCTTTTATCAATCCAATTCCAAACCCATTAATCTAAACCCATTAACTCTTTACCCTAAGCCCAACCTACCTAGAACTAACCTTAACCCAAGTCCAAAACCCTTAACCCAGAACCCCTCATAGACTAATTTCAACATCCTGAATCCATTTCCGACATTCGTTTTTCCAAATTCAATTGTTATGATATAGTTTTATTAATTGTACCCTTTATGTGCTTAGGGGCAATTATTTGTGACGTTTTTGTCTTCACTGCGTGGCTCTTTGGCGGCAAAGTATTTGTGAGTGGACCCTTTCTAAAATGCATGTTTTAATAATAGAAATGCATACATGAAAAGCATGATTTACTGAATACGTTTTATGAGAAATTGATTATCATGCTATATCGAGCTTATTTTGGAATACCATATTTTCTAGCAAATCTATGTTGTTGTAAGATATCTGATGGATGACGATATACTATTTAGAACAGGTTTTTATAACACTTCTTTATACTATATATGATGAATGAATTTATACTATAAAGATGATTTTGAGATATATGTACCTATGTTTTAGAAAGATTACGTTCAACGTTTTGTACGTACCTAGTGGTCACTATATGCATGTGTGGCAAACGATACTGATATGCCCGTTTAACAAATGATATTGTTTGGACCCGAAATGTTATTATGAGCCAAGCTCAGAAATATTCTCGGCCCAATGATGCTTATTTCGAATCTTGTCATGGGCCGGCCCTGGTTGGCCGAATCCTGTTACGAAGAGGATTATTTCGGATAAAGGTGAAATAGTGGAATCCTTGCATAATAAAGAATCTCAAAGCTAAAGTACTTGGGATTAGGAGATGAACCTGGTTTGTTTAAAGGTTTGGTTCAGATTCCTATGGAGATTAAGATTGGTCGAAGTTTAATCAGACGAGTTTGAGGAGTTCTAGTCATAATATATTTCTAGTTCGTTCATAGGGGTTCTCACTGCTATAAATAAAGGAGGGAGTGCATCATTCAAGCCTTCTCCAATTTAACACACAAACTGCCCTGCGCAAACTCTTACTCTACGCAAAACCTCTCAACAACCTTGAGATTTTTATTTTCTTTTTCCGCCAACATATCTTCAGTTAGGATAAACAACATTGTGAAGGCAACCAATGACATCTTCATTTTGGATAAACAGCACTAGAGCCATAAAATCAACCGACCGAGGAACACCTTTAGTTTGGATAAACAACACTGCTTCGAGACCAACTGGTTACCTATCCACGTCTCGGTCGACAAGGATTTTCAAGTCCTTGTTGGTAAAAGTCATCTCATCAGCCTTCTTGGCGAAGTGAAGTGTTACTAGGTTACTACATTCGGCACACTGAAAGTCAAATTTGATATTGAACTTCGTAGAACTAGCAGCCTTGTCTTCAGGCTCTAAAATCGAAAGGCTGAGACGTGTTCCTTCCTCGGTCGTAGTCGCAAGATCAAGAGGTCAGCTCGAATACATCAACACATTTTACTCCTCGGCCGAGCTTGGCCTACGAGTTAGCACGCCTTGCACATAACAAAATAACCTAGTTAGTTTATTAATTACTTGGCATGCGAGCCACGTAGGTTTGGTAGTTTTTAGGATTAACATTTTGGCATGCCTAGTGGGACCCAGTGCTAAAGCTACGAAGTTCATGACCATTGAGACATGAATAGTAAAAAAGAAAACAGGAATGGGTAAATCAACAACTAACCTTCCACCTACGGTCTAAAACCTAGATCATGATGGCCTGTCACAGGCACATAATCCTCAAGCTTCCGTCACACCGGAAAACACAAGTGCGACACGCCGAGAAAAAAACAATCAATCTCAGCGGACAGGCTTGTGATGCGGAGATCACCATCAGACCGACAAAAGGAATTTTTGTCAAATGAATAATAGAGGATTGTGACGAGGATGGTGGTGAAGCATCTGATCTACCAACTAGGTCATTTTTTTTAAGACGACTTGAGGAGCAATCTCGATAGTTTGAGCAAACGTTTAACCAAGAAATAAAAGGAATACTTGAAGAAGTACGTGGTTATAGCGCCGTCTATACTAGATTGCTCGAGGTTTTGGTTAGCAATACCCAGAATATTAGGCATGCCGATCGAGCTAGACAGCTTATTCCAAAAAACAATCCAATATCAACATTACCGGCTGAGACATGATCTGCTTGGCTTAAAATGATTGATCTGGAAAAAATGGGTGGATTAAGCAGAAAAGTGAAGGAATTCGACCGAAGAGCCGAAACGACATCTATCAATATAGTTGAGGTTCAAAAAATGATCAATTCGACTTTGAAAAAGGGGCCGCAGTTTCCAAAATTCATCCATTTGTACCCAGCTTATGTAGAAAAGTTTGAATATCCTAAAGGCTTTAAGATCCCTGATTTCAGCCTTTTTGTTGGAGAATCGTCTCTGTCCTCGTTAGAACATGTAACTTGGTTCACCATACAATGCAGAGATGTTAACAGTGATTTCCATAAACTGCGATTATTCAACTTCTCGTTGATAGGCTTGGCATTCGCGTGGTACATCAACCTCCCACCTAATTCCATCCAAAGTTGGGAGGAACTAGTCAAAAAATTTCATGAGCAATTTTATCGGCTGAGAATGGAAATGTCAGTTTCTTCATTGGCCACGATGAATCAAGCATCTGACGAGTCACCAATGGATTATCTTACAAGGTTTAAATCGGCCAGAAATTGGTGCCGAGTACCTCTCCCTGAAGTCGAATTTGTCAGGCTCGTCTTGAATAGGCTAGACATGGAATACAAAAAGAAGTTCTTGAGGGCAAACTTTCGAGATATGTATGAGCTGGCTCAACACGTCGAACAATATGATTATTTGCTCCGAGAAGAAAAGACCTCGAAGTCCTCATCTCGAGGGACGATTTATAAGAACCCTGCAGTCAGTTATGCATTGGTCGAAGTTGAAGAACCCCAATGTGTTAACATAGACGCGGCCAAGATAGTAATTAACAAACCTTATGTATGCAAGGTATTGGCTCACGCCAACTCCAAAGATATCAAAACCCGTTCGGCCAGTGTAGAAGCAGTCATTAAAACATCGAAGGTCTATACCATAGACATAACAAAGGCCGATGCCAACTTCAACCAGTTACTGATCGCGAAAATTATCAATCTTCGACCAGGACATAATATTCCAAAGGCCGATGACTTAAAAGGGAAAATTTATTGAAAATACCACAACTCAAAGAAACATACGATGAACAACTGCGTTGTGTTTCGAGATGCCATCCAAAGCTGGATCGACAATGGTAAACTCAAGTTTCCAGAAAAGAAAATGGGCGTCAACATTGACCTATTTCCTACGGCGACAATAAACATGGTAGATGCTCATCTGCCTAGGGATAAAGGAAAGGCAAAGACCGAGTTCCTCCCAATGCAATTCATCTCGAAACAGAACTCTAGGCCACAAGTAAAAATTGATTTATTCACAAACGAGCCACCTCAAGATTTAACTGAACCTGCTGTTGTCGAATCAATGTTAAGCTCTA